TTTTCAAGAAAAATCTATAAATTAAAGTGGTTCTATTTTAAGGTGCGTTAGTTTGGGTTAGTTTGTCAACATACAAGGACTAGCACGCATTACGTGGACTGGTTAGTTTGGGTTAGTTTGCATACTATTGGTTAGGTTGGGTTACAGTTCGCTCAATATCTACTGATTATAAGTATACTGGTTAAAAGGAAAGCGCGTGAAGCGCGTTTTTGTTTTTCTAAATTCAATATTAACATTTTAAGACTAGTACGCATTACGTGGACGGGTTAGTTTTGGTTAGTTTGCATATTTTTGGTTAGTTTCGTTTTACTGGTTATAGGTGTACTGATTGACAACAAAGCGCGCGAAGCGCGCTTTGTTTTTCAAATTCAATATCAACATACAAGGACTAGCACGTATTACGTGGTTCGTATGGGTTAGTTTGCATACTTTTGGTTAGTTTGGGTTACAGTTCGTTTAATATCTACTGGTTATAATATCTACTGGTTTAAGATCTACTGGTTAGAGGTGTAAGTGAAATTGTGAATATTCGCTTACTACGGCAAAAAACGTCAATATCCGCACTTAATTTGATATAAAACCAACTGTATAAAGGATATATCAACTAACCCTGCGTTTTTATTCTCATCAAATTTTACCGATGGATCCACCATTCTATGTCGGTCATTGTCATTTTCCATTCACTAAACAAAGATAGTTAACTCATCAGTGAATCCATCGATGAGAATAAAAACGCACATTAATTTTTATTGAAAATTTGTTAATTTTTGTTGCATTAAAGCGTTTTACACCCACATTTAGTTCACATTCTGTGATGGGATCAATCAATAATCCACTTTGGACTTTGGTAATATCACTTATAACACTTATGGTCATTTCCACCAACTAGTTATTTTCGGGAAGCCTTAAACGATAAGTATTCCCTAGACTGACAGTTTTCCATGGAGAAATGTCAGTTTAGGAAATACTTACCGTAATAGTAGAGAGTTCTCGGGCCGTTCAAATTTCAAATACCGTAACGCTGACAACGCTTGACAAGCAGTATGACAGTTCTTACGGTATAAGCGTTAGCGGAGCCCGCTATTTAACGGAACTTACCGGATGCCTTACCGTAACGCTATGCTCTGTCAAAACTAGTTTACGCTCCATTTATGTCTGCAAAAACAGCAACTTCTAATAATTCCTCCATAAAAAACACCAAGGGAAAATTATTCAAGCTTAGGAATCTTCAGAATAAATAAAAGTTAGAAAACAAGCAAAAAAAGTGGGGTTAGATTACTCAACTCAGCTGTCAAAATGTAAACAGAATAAGGGATTAGAGGAATTATGTGTCTTCGTGCTCGAGAACTATAAAATACCATGTAAAATACCGTATTGTTAGCGGTAGGTACCGTATTAGCATAGCATCTGACGCACGAGGACTTTCTAGTTTGTGGAAACGGCCATTAGGGCCGGTTTATTCACCTTCTGATAAACTGTCAGGTATGCAATCTGACCGACCGATAAAAATGCAATCTCTAATTCCATTGGTTGTTTATCTGAATATAAATAAACCGGGCCTAATAAATATAAAAATCGAACAAACAAAATACGAAATTTTTGTGTGTTTGCATACTTTTGCATTAGCAAATTTATTTATGCTGGAAAATAACCAAAAAACGAGGAATTTGGTAAAATTAGCAAATTTCCACACTAAAGCAGTTCAAATTAATCATCACTCAATTTAAAAAAAAAAGCTCTTCCCCGGGTAACGAATCCCAGGACGCACAGCTTGAACACTCGCTTGAACACTAATAAGCTAGTAAGTACACATTACTCAAAGTTGACCATTGGACTCAACCCAGAGATAAATACTATATAAACTGTCGAGAATGGAATCTCAGTGTAAATTTTGTTGTCAACAAAATTGAGCCAAACCAGCCATCTACCACATCGGAAAATCACTATTTACTGGTTTTGCATCGATGCTACAGACACCTACTTTACATAGGACTTTTTATGATAGATGGCGCCTTGTTCGCATTACTGTCGGTCTGTTCAAATTCGTTTATTCTAGACTTTGGGGCATTAATGTTTGCTTAAATTAATTGATAATTTGTTAATTAGATCAAAAGACAGTTTCTTTATCGATGGTTAAGGGATCCTTAACATATTTATTCAAAGTTCTAATTGATGTTTAATTGAACCTTTTTTTTTTTTTTTTTTTTTTTTTTTTTTTATGGATATGCGCACTCGCAAGGAAATGTCCTATCACGCTCGAGAAGCGGCATGGATAAAAATAGATCTTCCAATCTATAAAGTTTGAAGTTCTTCTTGAAACACACAAAACAACTTTGAAATCACTTAAGAACACTTGACAACACAAAGAAAAATGAAATGCAAGACCGGCGAACAAAAAACATTATGAATTATTAGTTAAGATCAAATGAATATTTTGGCATATTGTCATATGTTGACATGTCAGTTATCGACATCGGACGTGTTCTTGATGTGCTGGTATTTTCCAATTTTGACAATTCTGTGGTTTTTAGCGACATCTAGAAAAACGGAAAAGAGTTATTTTGTGGCCAGTTATAGGCAATGAGAGATCGCAGGGCCTGACTCAACCTGAAGTTTTTTTCACCCTTAGATTTCTCCGCTCGTTTCTCCAGCCAGGATCCACTGCCTCTGGCATGATCAACACTCCCCTTTTTTCTCTTAGTGAGCAACAATTTCCTTGATAAGTCTCGATGTGCTTACGTTAGATTACAGGTTCATACAAACGAAAGCATTGGTTTAATGAAATAAGGTATGTGGAATTATTCCAAATCTTGTATTTAGAAATTACTGTTAGCCAAAGTTTTTCCTCAAACTCTTATCAGTTTATATAATTTTAGAGCTGAAGATGGATATTGATATCCGAAACATGTACTCAAAATAAAAATTCAATACTGAATTTTATATAAAGAATTGTGGAAAAGACTTCGAGTTTTACTTCTTGATATTTAAGAAGCTCCACTGTGAGAAAAATGGACTATTTTTTCAATTTACTAAATTTAAACATGGCGGCCATTACCGCGGCCTTAATTTCTATACATTGTAACGATGCGCAAATAGCCCAATACCCATCAGTTTGAAATAGTTTATCCTTATTGCCCTTATTTCGTTCCAATATAATATAATGAATATTATTTTTTTTTTTTTTTTAGTATTTATTTATTTTATTGGGGCCCAGGATTGATGAGGGGTTTTTACGCATTTTTGGAAACTTGTCTCAAACATCCAATTCAACACTGTAAAGTGATTCCTGTTGATCACACGGGTTAATATTGCCTCATTGCCCAAGCATCTGTTATCCGTTATGCTTTTTTTTCTAAATTAATTTATTTCAATTCAAAATAGCTATAATATCATGAAAATACTTTTCATAACAAAGATCTTTCTTACTAGTAGAAATAATATATAGGTAAAGTCCGTTTCACCAGGGTTCATACTTGACCTTGAAACTTGAAAAAAAAAGGGTTGTCGTAGATTAATTCATATGACACATTCGATTTTTTTGACAAATTAAAATGAATGACTTTTAGTTTAAGAACCGACGAACGTTTTTGACGCCATTGATTTGTTTCAGTCAATTTTTATTTGTTAAACAAGGAAGGTAAATGCTGGTGGCAAGTACAAACCCTGGCGAAACAAACTTTACACTATCTTTCGTACCTTAAAGGGGGTGTGCGCCAAAAATTAAAGTTTTAGTGTGGAAAAATCTAAGAATAACTGTTCAAACCTCGTTATTCTACGATAAACCATCGCTGAGATATACCGCTTTAAAGTGTGAACCACGCTCTCGTGACGTCACGAGAACTTCGTCCAGCTGCGCTCCGCTTTGTTAATTTGATTGTTTCCGGCACGTCTGAGTGGTTTCTGTTTAGATTATTGCAGGTAACACAGGAAAAACATTATGTAAATTTAATTAACTCGACTTTCTCGTGCGTTGCTTGAGCTTTCGTGACGTCATAGGGTGAGATGCGGTACCTTCATAGAGCCATATCTGCGGTATTATTTGTCATAGAGGGGTGCGGATTTCACTGTTATTCTTAGATTTTTTTTCTCTTTTTTTGAAATGAAGTTGTTTTTTTGGCGCACACCCCCTTTAAGCAGGTATCCTAAATCCTAATTATTTATCCTCGTCGCCATTTTGTAATGTTTGATCTTCGTGATGCATAAATATCAAAAGCCACCAAAGCACATATGACTTATTCCTTTATTCACTCGTCTTACAATGATTCACAAAAACAACCCTCACCAATCCTACCCGACAATGGTACCAAAAAACGTATAAATTCAAAGTTTTAGTCAGCAGCGTCACGATAGGATAAACAACTACCAAAATATACAAAACGATGTTATTTTGTAATTCTTATACACTACACCTCGGATAGGACATACCCTTGCAAATATTGAATCGGTCGAAACCAAACGTTTCAAGAATATTCTCAACCTAAACATAAATTGATAAAGTTTCCTCCACAAAAATTATAATTGTTCTACTTTGGTACATATTTTGCGATTGCATGCTAAATATTTATTCCCAAATAACATGAGAATTTTCGCTAAAGAAATTTATGAAACAAGTAGAATTTTGGATAGAATATTGCAGCTTGTCTTGAAATATAGATTCATTGACTCCCTAACGCCGGTTTTGCGCGAGATTATTATTTATTAGAGCTCGTCCGACGCAAAATTAATGAGCAAAAGCCCGCATCCCGGGAGCTGAAATATGATTCTCTAATCATCACAAAGCCACCTTTATAACTTTGAGCAATTTGTTCCACTTTGCACCCGTTCGAAGCTGACAGGAAGGAAATAAACTAAACAGCAATTATTATTACTTTCTGAAAACTACGAATCTCCAAAAAACTAAGTGTGAATTATACATCGCAAACTTGTATCAAAAATCAGTTTTCAAGTCGCTCGGCCATCCGTTTTCCTAATTCTGTCTAACTCTGTAATTTACTTTCCAGATCGTCCCAAAGTGATTAGCGTTGGACGAGAACGCGTCAAAACCTCCACCCTGTTTGCCCCGGTCAATTTCGAATGTCTGGGCGAAGGCAACCCACCGCCGACCTACCAGTGGATCCAGAAGAAAACTTCGCAACAATCGGACAGCGTCGTAGAACGCGGCAGGGAGGCCAAGCTACAGATCAAAAACGTCACATACGAGTATCAGGGAGAATGGAGGTGCAAGGCTACAAATGTTATTAAAGGAGAGGAACAGAGTGATATAAGTGAGCCCATTATACTTCAAGTACATGGTGAGTGTGATTTGAGTCTCTAATACTAGTTTAGAATGGGCCAATCGGAATAAGCCGTTACCTCGCCCCAAAGTCATATATGTACGATGTAGGTGAAAAACATTCTGTATTGGGGTGGAGGCATATTAAATAGAGGAGACTCTAGCTCGAAATCAAGGTGGGTGGAGGGTGCCTCACAAGAGCATTTCTAAGGTGTTTCCTGCACTGCTTCCTCTAATGGGGTCCCTGTGGAAATCTAGCTCAAGCAAGAATCAATACGATTTCTGTTAGTTTGAGTCACTCCACAGTCATCGTATACCTACCAGTCACAGCCAGAGCCATAATTGCGAAAACGGAAATATTGTACAGAACCCCTATTTCTCAGCTACTAACCCGACTGTCATAAATTTCATATTGTAATAATATGTATTTTTCTTTTGGTAAGGCATCGGCCTCCTAGTCCAACTTCCTGTTTGTGATTCATACCTTTTCGCACAAGATATGGTTCAATGGGCCCGCTTTAACTCTCGCGTCACTGAACTTTTCAGTTTGAAGACAGCGTGTTGTATCCTTTTTGTAAACTCGATTCGTAAAGTCGAATTTCTCTCCCGGAGAAAAGTGTTCGCACGTAATTTATGCGCTTGAAGAACATTAAGTGCGACAACTCTTACAAATATATAAATCTGGGGAGTCATTTATTTTTTACCGTAACTCTGCCCTTTTATTGTTGCCAACCCAAGAAATTTGAGACCACGGAAGTCAATTAAGGATTATATACCTACTAGTGCTCGGAGACACAGGAGAATCAAACCAGTGTACTTCGATCTAATATATTTATTTCGATAACTAAGCCTTAGCACTTTCGGCCTCCCGGCCATCCTCAGTGCTAATTGTCAGTTAATGTGCACAGGAACCACTGAATGGACAAATAGAGTCATAAACATACGCTGTGAATAGTAAAATTATAAAAATTTATATAGGGTGTTTTAATAAGAGGTTCCGGATAATTTTTTTTTTTTCCAATTCAAACGATAAGCAAACTAGGAAACATTTAATACTTTATAGCAATAAGTAACATGATCCTTTACAATTATACGTGGAACACAACATCCAACAAATAGCCACATCGACTTCTCTCATAGCACACAATTGTTTTGGCAAAATTTTCGATCGCATCTGTGCACATTTATGGTGGTATCTCACGATTCACGAATAATGCGCCGAATCTCATCTTTCAGCTCTTGAATTGTTTGGAAATTGTTCACATACCCACGTTACTAGAATTTTTGTGGGGTTGCGTCAAAAGTAAAGCATATGTGAACAATCCCTGAACAATTCAACAGTCAACATCCGGAACCTCTTATTGGTACACCCTTTATAAACATTGTAAAAAGTTGTGAACATTGTGAAAAGGAACTGGCCTACACATTAACCCGCGAGTACACGCGTGTCGGTCAAAAAGACCGACCATTGATAAAATCAGTAATAATGCCACTGGTACAAGGGTGACAGTTTTGTCCATCCAGGAATGCCTGATGCAGGTTTTCCACTACCCATTGGCCCAAATATATTTTGGTTTTTGGTTGAGGAAGGGTTCGTTATTTTCATAGTCGGTGCTTTTGACTAGGCGCGTGAACCTGAGTATCTGAAATATTTGTGTTAAAAATTGGCATTTTCTGATATTGGGAGTACTTTTGGCTGTCGATAATACGGTAACTGTACTGCATAATATAATTTCCTTTGTAATAATTATGAATGGGTCGTGGAATTCAAAAATAAAGAAAACGTGTAGCCCCTTTGGTTGGGGTTTCACTTCCGTGAACTGGAGCTCTTCGTGTTGTTTCCTGTATCCAGAAAAGGGGATAGATTGCTAGTGTGACGTCACTCCAGCTGATCCAGACTCCAAATGGTGATCTTTAATGTGAAATAGGTACCCAGAAAAGAATAAAACAGTATCAGGTTCACCAAGGTTTGGAATATTAAATTCCTGAATTCTGTCAAAAAGCGAGGGTCTTGCAAAGAACATTTAAATTGAAATTAGTTTATTATAAAACTATTGTTGTTGTTGTACAGACACTCCTTTCCAACAGAATCAGGTATGAGCAACTATTGCAAATTGAAAAAAAAAAAAATTATTGAAAATCACTTAAATAATTTTAAAAAAAATAGAAGAAAGTATGTATGTAGTAATAAAGTAGGTAAGTACAACAATATTTAGTAAAAATGCTCGTTAACATTGAGCAGAATGCTGCTTCTCGAGCAGTCGCTGAACAGGTACAAATTAAAAAAGAGAATGTAAAAAAAATTGAACAAGATAAAAAAAAAATCTCTAGATATTCCCCAAATAGATAAATTTTCCTTTTTAGTTAAGGTACCTACTATTGGTACTACAAGATAAAGCTGAGGGTGAAACAAATTGAATCCAGGATTTGTCAAAATTCTTGAGATGTTTAATTAAAACTTTTTAAATAAATTCTAACCTATCCGGACTTCTATCGTAAAATTTCAACCTTACAGCACTCGCTTTACTTGAGAAGATAATGAGGGAGACAAACAATAAATGGTTAGAGAGATTTTTTTTCAGGTAATGACCAACGTGAATACAGGAACACAACGGTCCCTGTTTGGGAATCGACCCACTGAGCAGTGGACCCAGACTTCCCGTGCAAATCCTTGACGCGTTTCGTCCTTGTTAGGACTCATCAGAAGGACATAGGCTGAAGCTCCCTGTCCAAGCAAAATTGAACTTCGTTGACGAGTCAGAAACAACTACTCCGAGGGCAAATACCCCTACCGGCGTTGAACTACACTGATTGGTCTGAGCTTTCGTTGGCAATGAAAATTGTTAGAGAGATTTTTTTCAGGTAATGACCAACGTGAATACAGGAACACAACGGTCCCTGTTTGGGAATCGACCCACTGAGCAGTGGACCCAGACTTCCCGTGCAAATCCTTGACGCGTTTCGTCCTTGTTAGGACTCATCAGAAGGACATAGGCTGAAGCTCCCTGTCCAAGCAAAATTGAACTTCGTTGACCAGTCAGAAACAACTACTCCGAGGGCAAATACCCCTGCCGGCGTTGAACTACACTGATTGGTCTGAGCTTTCGTTGGCAATGAAAATTATTAGAGAGATTTTTTTCAGGTAATGACCAACGTGAATACAGGAACACAACGGTCCCTGTTTGGGAATCGACCCACTGAGCAGTGGACCCAGACTTCCCGTGCAAATCCTTGACGCGTTTCGTCCTTGTTAGGACTCATCAGAAGGACATAGGCTGAAGCTCCCTGTCCAAGCAAAATTGAACTTCGTTGACCAGTCAGAAACAACTACTCCGAGGGCAAATACCCCTACCGGCGTTGAACTACACTGATTGGTCTGAGCTTTCGTTGGCAATGAAAATTGTTAGACAGATTTTTTTCAGGTAATGACCAACGTGAATACAGGAACACAACGGTCCCTGTTTGGGAATCGACCCACTGAGCAGTGGACCCAGACTTCCCGTGCAAATCCTTGACGCGTTTCGTCCTTGTTAGGACTCATCAGAAGGACATAGGCTGAAGCTCCCTGTCCAAGCAAAATTGAACTTCGTTGACCAGTCAGAAACAACTACTCCGAGGGCAAATACCCCTACCGGCGTTGAACTACACTGATTGGTCTGAGCTTTCGTTGGCAATGAAAATTGTTAGAGAGATTTTTTTCAGGTAATGACCAACGTGAATACAGGAACACAACGGTCCCTGTTTGGGAATCGACCCACTGAGCAGTGGACCCAGACTTCCCGTGCAAATCCTTGACGCGTTTCGTCCTTGTTAGGACTCATCAGAAGGACATAGGCTGAAGCTCCCTGTCCAAGCAAAATTGAACTTCGTTGACCAGTCAGAAACAACTACTCCGAGGGCAAATACCCCTACCGGCGTTGAACTACACTGATTGGTCTGAGCTTTCGTTGGCAATGAAAATTGTTAGAGAGATTTTTTTTCAGGTAATGACCAACGTGAATACAGGAACACAACGGTCCCTGTTTGGGAATCGACCCACTGAGCAGTGGACCCAGACTTCCCGTGCAAATCCTTGACGCGTTTCGTCCTTGTTAGGACTCATCAGAAGGACATAGGCTGAAGCTCCCTGTCCAAGCAAAATTGAACTTCGTTGACCAGTCAGAAACAACTACTCCGAGGGCAAATACCCCTACCGGCGTTGAACTACACTGATTGGTCTGAGCTTTCGTTGGCAATGAAAATTGTTAGAGAGATTTTTTTCAGGTAATGACCAACGTGAATACAGGAACACAACGGTCCCTGTTTGGGAATCGACCCACTGAGCAGTGGACCCAGACTTCCCGTGCAAATCCTTGACGCGTTTCGTCCTTGTTAGGACTCATCAGAAGGACATAGGCTGAAGCTCCCTGTCCAAGCAAAATTGAACTTCGTTGACCAGTCAGAAACAACTACTCCGAGGGCAAATACCCCTACCGGCGTTGAACTACACTGATTGGTCTGAGCTTTCGTTGGCAATGAAAATTGTTAGAGAGATTTTTTTCAGGTAATGACCAACGTGAATACAGGAACACAACGGTCCCTGTTTGGGAATCGACCCACTGAGCAGTGGACCCAGACTTCCCGTGCAAATCCTTGACGCGTTTCGTCCTTGTTAGGACTCATCAGAAGGACATAGGCTGAAGCTCCCTGTCCAAGCAAAATTGAACTTCGTTGACCAGTCAGAAACAACTACTCCGAGGGCAAATACCCCTACCGGCGTTGAACTACACTGATTGGTCTGAGCTTTCGTTGGCAATGAAAATTGTTAGAGAGATTTTTTTTTCAGGTAATGACCAACGTGAATACAGGAACACAACGGTCCCTGTTTGGGAATCGACCCACTGAGCAGTGGACCCAGACTTCCCGTGCAAATCCTTGACGCGTTTCGTCCTTGTTAGGACTCATCAGAAGGACATAGGCTGAAGCTCCCTGTCCAAGCAAAATTGAACTTCGTTGACCAGTCAGAAACAACTACTCCGA